ATAGGGAAGGTCTACTGGTGACAAATTCTCCCAGCCTTTGTCTGGGAAAGTATTTCTCCTTCATGTTTGAAGAATAGTTTTACTGGATACAGATTTCCGATGTTGGGTTTTTTTTTTTTTTCTTTCAACGTTGTAAATATCTTGCTCTGTTCTCTTTTTGCTCTTGTGGTTTCTAACAAGAAGTTCAATGTAATTCTTTTCCTTGTTCCTTCATAAGTGAATGTTTTTCCAAGTTTTTTCCCACTCTTCTTGCTTCTCTCAACATATTCCCTGTGCCTTTGGTTTACTACAGTTTGGATATGACATCTTTGGTGTGGATCTTTGTAATTTATTCTGCTTGATGTCTTCTAAGCCTCTTGGATCTGTGGTTTGGTGTCTGTCATTCATTGTAGAAAATTCTCAGACATCACTGCTTCACATATTTCTTTTGTTCCTTTCTCTCATCTTCTCCTATTCTCCTTTTTAAAAAAGTTTATTAAATATTTTGAGAGAGAGAGAGAGAGAAAGAGAGAGAGAGCAGGGAAGGGGCAGAGAGAGAGGGAGAGAGAAAGAATCAGAAGCAGGCTCCACATGGAGCCTGATGCAGGGGTCAAACTCACAAACCATGAGATCATGACCTGAGCTAAAATAGAGTCTGATGCTTAACCAACTGAGCCACCCAGGTGCCCCTCCTTCTCCTATTCTCCTTATACATATGTTATACCTTTTGAATTGCCCCAGAGTTCTTGGATACTGCATTTGTTTTTTAAAAATTCTTTTTTTTTTTCATTTTGAATTTCAGTTTGGAAAGTTAGTGTTATATCTCAGCATCACTGATTCTTTCCTTAGCCATGTCCAGTGTATTAAAACACACATTCTTCCTTTCTGTTATAATGCTTTTAATTTCTTGGATTTTACTTTGATTCTTTCTTAAGAGTTTCACACTTTTTTACTTACATTACTCATCTGTTCTTCCATGTTGTCTAGTCTTTCTGTTAGAGTCCTTTACATGTTTGTCATAGTTTTTAAAAATCTTTGTCTGATAATTCCAAAATCTGTGTTGTACCTGAGACTGGTTCTGATGCTTTGTCTCCCCAGACTGTGTTTTTCTTGCCTTTTAACACACTTTGCAATTTTTTGTTGAAAGCTGGGTGTGATGCATCACTTAACAGGAACCAAGGCAAAAAGGCCTTTAGTGTGAAGCTTTATGTTAATCGGACCAAGAGCTAGCTGCGTTTAATATTTCCACAGACAAATGTGACAGAGGATTCGTTTTCCTCTAGTTTCCTTGTTTGCTTCCTTCCCTGTTGTGTTTGTATTTCTCTACGAAATTAAACGGGGCCTGTGTTTTGCAGGTCTCTTGGTTGTAACCCACTGTCATTATTGATTGTATCTCAGTTTTTAGTGGGACTCAGTTCCTGAGCTGTGACCTTCAGAAGCATTTCTTAGTCTTTTTTTATTTCATTTTTCCTCTGTGTCTCTAGATAGGAAGCCTAGTGAGCTGCAGTTGGATAATTGTGCTTCCTTCAGGTCAGATAAAGCTGTGGTGTAGTAGTTTTCCCGGAGGACAGACTTTTGTTACGGAAAAGCTCTGATTGTATTTCAAAAAGGTAACTTTTGCCCATCCCCCCCACTGTATCTGCCTGGAATAGGAGGGGTTTTGTTCAGACCTTCACTTTGAATACCTGCTGGGGTTCTTAGAGATAAAACCCACAAAAGCATGGAGGTCCCAACAAAAACTGAGCCCACAGAATTTTTAAAAATTTTTCAAAAGCATTTGATCAAATAGGAAACATATTTGCAATATGTATAACACAGGAATTAATACATAAAGAAAATAATAAAATGATGGTTTTAATGAACATTAAGACAAAATATGTGAATAAGAGATTCACCAAAAAGATGTATCTCTAAATATATTTCAAAAGTTAACTCTTGGCAACTCTTTTTTTTTGTTGTTGTGGTAAGAACACTTAACATGAACTCTATTCTCTTGATGGATTTTTAATTGTTCAAACTGTACTGTTAACTACAGGCACATATTGTACAGCAAATATCTAGAATCTATTCATCTTGCATAACTGTAACTTTATACCCACTGATTAGCAACACCTCATTTTCCCCTCTCCCAGAGGCAGTAAGTGATAGGAACTTAAATGGTAACTTTGATGAATTGATGTAGGCTGAGTATGGATTGGCTTAGGAATTAAAAATATGAGAAGATATTCCTTGAAGTTCTAATTCTCAAGCAAAGCTGTACTCAACCTTCAGCAATTTGTCACCATTTAAGTGATCCCATCAGTTACTATCTGCAGGGGCTTCTGTTCCTGGTTTGTTGATTTTGCTGTGGTTCTCTGTATTCTCCTGTCTCCCCAAATTTTGGAGTAGTGGTTTGCCCTGTGACATCACTTCTCTGCTGGATCTGAGAAAAGTCATTGGTTTTCAATTTGTTCAGCTTCTGTTGTTGTTGTGGGATGGGAGTGATGACTTCCAAACTCTTTAGATGGAGCTGAAAGTTCTAGGTTTTTTTAGTCGAATAATTTTTTAATAGTAGCTTTATTGAGATATAATTCACATACCATGCAATTTACCCATTTGTAGTGTACAATTTGATGATTTTTCGTACATATTTACACATATGTATAATCATCACTGCAATACATTTGAGAACATTTTCATCACCTCATAAAGAAAACCCATACCCTTTAGCTGTCACTCACTATCACTCTCACCCAAACCTAAACAGCTACCAATGAACTTTCCATCTTTCTGTATTTGCCTACCCTGGACAGTTCATATAAATGGAATTATATATGTGGTCTTTGTGATTGTCTCCTTTCACTTAATATTTTCAAGATTCACCCATATGTTAACATGTATAATGCTTCATTCTTTTTATGGATAGTAAAATAACAATATGCAAAAATATCAAATTATATTCCACTGTATGCTATGCCACATTTTGTTTATCCATTCATCAGCAGATAGGCATTTGAACATTTGGATTATCACCATCTTTTGGTTATTATAAATAACACTTCTATAAATATTTGTGTACAAGTTTTTATGTGGTCGTATGTTTTCATTTCTCTTAAGAATATACCTAGGAATGAAATTTCTCGTTCATAATATAACTCTGTATGTAACCTTTTGAGAAACTACCAGAGTGTTATCCTAAATGGATATACCATTTTCCATTCCAACTAGTAGTCTATGAAGGTTCTGATTTCTCCACATACCCACTAACACTTGTTATTATCTGACTTTTGATTAAGTCATCCTCCTAGGTGTGTAATGGCATCTCATTGTGGTTTTCACATGTATTTTCCCCATTGCTAATGCTGTTGAGAATTTTCATGCACCTGCTAGCTATTTGTATATTTTCTTTGAAGAAATGTGTAGTTACATGCTTTGCCATTTTTAATTATATTATTTGTCTTTTTATTAAATTGTAATATAGTCTGTATAGTTTAGATAAAAGTTCTGTATAAAATATGTAATTTATACATATTTTCACCCTTTCTTTTAATTATTTTGATAATTTCCTTTATAGTTCCATTTACAGCAGCATCAAGAAAAATAAAATACTTAGTATTAAATTTAGCAAAGGGAGTATAAAATGTATACTCTGATAATTGTGTTTGAAAATTAAACAGAAAAACATCACATATTCATGGGTTGGATTTCTTGATATTGTTAAGATGGTAACCTTCCCCAAAATAATTTACAGATTCTACACAATCTCTATCAGAATCCCAACTGGCTAGTTGTTGAAATTGACAAGCTGATTCTAAAATTCATCTGGAATTCCAAAGGATCTAGAATAGCCCAAACAATTTTGAAAAACAACAACAGAAACAACAACAACAACAAAATTCGAGGACTTGTACTTCATGATTTCAAACCTTTACGTAATAAAACAGTAGTCAATGCATTGTGGTACTGGTATTGTGATACACATATAGATCAGTGAAACAAAATTAAGAGTCTAAAGAAAATCTCATATATTTGTGGTCAACTGATTATTGGCAGAGGTGTCAAGACCATTAAATGAGAGAAAATAACCTTTTCTTTTTTTCTTTAAATGTTTTATTTTGAAAGAGAGAGAGAGAGAATACAAGCAGAGATGGAGAGAGAGAATTTCAAGCAGGCTCCATGCTCAGTGCAGGGCCCCACATAGGGCTCGATCCCACAACTATGAGATCATGACCTGAGCCAAAATCAAGAGTCAGACACTTAACCTACTGAGCCACCCAGGTGCCCCAAAATAACCTTTGCAACAGTGGTACTGGAATAACTGGATAGTCACATGTAAAAGAATGAAATAAGACACTTACTTCATACCATATAAAAATTAACTCAAAATGACTCAAAGATCTAAAGGTAAGAGATAAAATTATAGAACTCTTTGAAGAAAACAGGGATAAATTATCACGATCTTGGATTTGTCAACAAATTCTTAGATATGACACCAAAATCATAAGTAGCAATAAGAAGAACAAGGAGATAAATTGGACTTCATCAAAAATCCTAATCTTTTTTTATTTTATATTTTTATTTTATATTTTATTTATTTTATTTTATTTTTTTTAGAGAGAAAGAGAGCACGAGCAGGGAAGAGTGGCAGAGGGAGCGAGAGTGAGAATCTCAAGCAGGCTCCATGTTCAAGTGGAGGAGCCCAATGCAGGGCTCCATCCCATGACCCTGGGATCATGACCTGAGCCAAAATGAAGAGTCAGACGTTCAACCAATTGAGTCACCAGGTGGCCTCAAAAGTTCTAATCTTTTTAAAAAGAAAATCTGATGAAGCCATTCTCTAGCTTAGTATTTTTCAGTAGATGCCTATTGCCTTGAGATTAGAGCCCAAACTCCTAAACATATCATATTTGCTTCTTCATTTAAAAATGCCATCTACAGGTGCTTGGGTGGCTCAGTCTGTTAAGCATCCAACTTTGGCTCAAGTTATGGTCTCACGGTTCATGACTTGGAGCCCCATGTCAGGCTCTGAGCTGTCAGTTCAGAGCCTGTGCTGACAGCTCAGAGCCTGGAGCCTGCTTCAGATTCTGTGTTTCCCTTTCTCTCCGCCCTCCCCTGCTCACACTCTCTCTCTCTCTCTCAAAAATAAATAAACATTAAAAAATTACTTTTAATTATTTAATTAATTCTAAAGAATTAAATATATTTTACACTTGATCTTAGCCAAAAGGCCGAGAAGCGATGAGAATTAAATATATTTTAATGTAAAATAATATCTAACTACATATCTGTTTACATATTGATATCTATTTAGCATGCCTGGGTAGTTGTGTGTGCATGTTTTAAATTGTCATTTACTTATTTGTATACATATTTATGAAAATATTTATTACTTATAAAGTTTACTTATATATTAAATCACAGAAGTTCATGTCATCTCTAAAATATGTAAATAAACATAATAATAGGTACATAACCATTTTTATTCCTCAAAGGCTTACCTTATCCTGCTTGCTGCATTGATTAGATGTTAGTTTTCAGACTGAGTCTTTTTGAGAGCTGTATTTCATACTTGACATTCCACTTCCATAAAGTACCTGACTCAGGAAATAGTTGGTATTTTCCATAGGGAGCTCAAACACAGAGAAAAGGTGTGAGCATACTCTTGGGATTGTCACTGAAGTAAGAACTCTGAATCTGTAAAACTACCTCCCTCTCACCTAACCCCTAGTAGATCAAACCAATAACAACATGAGAGGGAGAGGCAAGGGGAGGACCATCTGTGGTTTGACAGTGGTTTCACTATATTATTATGTAGTTATAAAATGCTTGACTATTTTACTTATTCATATTTTTAGGATTACTATATACCAGCAGTGTAATTATCACCCTGTATTATATATATATATATATATATATATATATATATATATATATATATGCACACACACACACATTGTCTTCTCTGTTAGGGTTCACAGTCTAGTGAAAGAAGAGACAGACAAGAAAATAAGCAACTATAATAGAGTTTGATAAGAACCATAGTAAAACAAGAAGTATATGCTTTCAGAAGATGTGGGGGGATATCTACTTGGGTTATAAAGGGAGTGAAGAAATTGTGTCCTGATGGAACATACATCTGAGGAAACATCTGCATTGGTTAAGAGTTGGCAGGCAAAAAAGAGGGATGGTTGGTGTTGGAGGATGTTATAAGCAATGCCCAGATCTTCCTTTTGGGACTTTTCCTACTGCTGACTGGATAGCTTTCAGCTGTCAGGTCTTTCTGGACTTTTCCTTTGGAAGTCTGTACTTGCCAAAGGTCACATCATATTCCTAAGGGCAACCTGCCTCCATTGACTGGCTTCTGCAAGAACATAAAGGTCTGGTCCACTCTCACAAATAAGTGACAACTCTGAGGAGCCTTCCTAGCTTCAGAGCTCCCTATGGAGTCAGTTGAGGCCTTTGATGAGACTATATCACAACCCAACTTTCTAATCAACTCATTTCTGTTTCCTTTCCTTCCCTTCCTTCCCATGCCACAGCTCTTGATCCTAAGAGAAATCCCTAAGAAAGTCTCTGTACTTTATGTCTCACAAATCTGCTTCCTGGGGAGCCCAAATTTTATCAATTGGTACCAGGAGTGTTGTGGGAACACAGACACTAAGATGAGATGCGGAAGCTGTACCACATATCAGTTAGTTGGCGTGATAACTCCATCATTGAGTGGAACATGAATATATTCCATTCACACATGAATATGGATATCCCTGGCACAAGGTAGATTTTTAATAGTTAAAATTTTTTATCAGTAGTGAATTGGAAAGAGTATACCAGTTGTTTCAGTTACGTACTGCTATATAATAAATGACTCCAAAATTAAGTGTACTAAAACAGAATTTTGTGGATTTCCTATGCTTACCTGGATACAGTGGGGCTTCCATGCTTTTGTCCTGTGGTGTTGACCAGCGCTACAGGCATCTAGAAGTTCAGTTTGGCTAGATGTCTAAGATGGTTTGCTCACCTGGCTTGCAGTTGATACTGTTAGCTGAGAGCTCAGATTGGGCTATGGAGAAGTGTACCGATATGTGGTCTCTGTGTGGTTTGGGTTTCTCATGATATGTAGTCTAGGGTCAGAGAGGATGTAGCCTAAGAGCAAGTGTTCCAAAGACCCTGGCAGAAGGTAGAAAGCTTCTTATAGCCTGAGTTTAGAAGCTATACAGCATGACTTCTACTGTACTCTGTTGGTCAAAAACAAGTCATGGGGCTAATCCAGATTCAAGCAAAGAGGACAATGCGAAGATGTGAATACTTGGAGATGTGTTTCACTGGGAGGAGGGAGCATCTTTGGTGTCTACCATACTGGGGGCAATATATCAATTATTTGAGAAATCTTTGTGTGTATAGGTGGATGTGCGTGTCTTTGTGTGTGTGCATGTGTGTGTATGTAGAGGGAGGGATAATTATAAGGACAGTTTAATTGAGTGACTTGCTAAGCATGATTTATATTTTGGAAAAATATATAAAAAGCAGACAGTATTTAATTAGTAATATGAATATGAAAGTCATAGGGCCTGCTTTGTAGTATGTAAAAAGGCTTTCATTCCAGGCAGAGGAAAGAAAAATCATACGATATTTTATCCTAAGGACATAAAGATATACGGACTAAAGGATACGTGGGCCCATTTCAAACCCAGATGAATTCTGGAAAATAATACCGGAATGTAAACTCAACTTTGACTACTATAAACTCAGCTTTATACCGTTACTTGACACCATTACTACAGCGGATTTGCATGGCCTCAGGAACATGGTATGGCCTTTGATCAGATATTAACTCTCTCACTCACTGTCATAATGTAGTCTGAAGAGACCTGGACTGTCAGAAGACATGACACTGGTGCCTATGTTGATAACATGCTAATTGGACCAGATTATCAACAAGCAACCAGTATGTTGGGGGCATCATTAAAATGCATATGCTCTAGAAGGTGGGAAGTAAATTCAATGAGGTTTAAGTGGTTCAACATATTAGTTAAATATATAGGTACCCATCAGTCTGAGATATTTCATGACATCCTATCCAATGTAAGGACAAATCATTGCATGTCACAACTCCTTCCATGCAGAAGGAAGCCCAACGTGCAGTGGGCCTCTTTGGGTCACAGAGGCAGATGATCTACCTCTGAGGCTTATAATACCTCCCATATACTGAGTGATTTGAAGAGCTGCCATTTTTGACTAGGGACAAGAGGAGGACAGTATTCTGTAGCATTTCAGGTTGCAGTTCAAGAGGCTTGATATTTGGACCATATGATCAAGAAAATGTAACATTGGTAGTATTTGTGGTGAGAAAAGATGCTGTATGGAGTTATGGCAAACCCTAACGGGAGAACCACCATGCACACTTTTAGGATTTTGGTGCAAGACTCTACCATTGGCAGTGGAGAATCAACATACTTTGAAAAATAGTTCTCACATTGATAATGGGTTCTGGTAAATATGGATGACCTGACTATGGGTCATTAGGTGCATGAATCACAAGTGCCCATCATAAAATGGGTTCTGTCATACTCATCAGGCGATAAGGTCTGGCAAGCCTAGCAACAATTCATTGTGAAATGGAAGCTGTGTGTTCACAAATGGGCATGAAAAAGGGTAGGGACCACAAGTAAGCTGAACAGTTCATGATTCAGACTCTGATATTATCCTCCTCTTGTACCTACACCTCTCCTTAGATCACACCTATGTGTAACCCCATAGGAGGTCCCTTGTGCCCAGATGACTGAGAAAGACAAAATCTAAATTTGGTTCATGGATGAGTTGGCTTGGCTGGGGCAGAGCCCTGTATTTCACCCTACTAACATTTTAAGTTACCTCTAGTAAAAGAGGCCTATGAGGATTTTATGTGAAGAAATATCTAAGGAAGAAAAGGGGTGGACTTCAGTAGAAATTTGGATGAATCAGTAGATCCTATCTTCCAGATTTATGGATTGACTGGGAGTTCTTTTAGCTGACAGCCATTAGTCATTATTCCTCTCAAGAAATTTCCCTCATTTAGAGAGAGATTCCATGTCCAACATCATGTTCCTTTCCCTGGTATAGCATTCACTCAGTGACTGAGCTATGTGGGAGTATAAAGGCCTATTCCCCTCTTTACAATGGGGACAACTTGAAAGGGCCACCCTAGGGGCGCCTGGGTGGCGCAGTCGGTTAAGCGTCCGACTTCAGCCAGGTCACGATCTCGCGCTCCGTGAGTTCGAGCCCCGCGTCGGGCTCTGGGCTGATGGCTCAGAGCCTGGAGCCTGTTTCCGATTCTGTGTCTCCCTCTCTCTCTGCCCCTCTCCCGTTCATGCTCTGTCTCTCTCTGTCCCAAAAAAAAATAAACTTTAAAAAAAAAAAATATTAAAAAAAAAAAAAAAAAAAAGAAAGGGCCACCCTAGTTTTAGAATTCCCCATGGGTTAGTGGAGACCTTTGTAGAAATTGAATAGGAACCTGGCTTCTGCTACCTAATTTTGTCCCTTCCCTTCCCTTCCCTTCCCTTCCCTTCCCTTCCCCATCTTCCTTTACCCTTCCCTTTCCCAGGTATTCATCCTGAGAGAACTCTTTAGTAAGTTTTATGCACACTAACCTTCATCTTAGAGTCAGGGAAACCCATCTACAATAGCTTGAGTTCAAGCAAGAGGGAACACTTTGAAGTCATGCTTGAGCAAGATGCATTCATTTTTTTCTAGAGTCAAAAAGGTGACTTAGTAGGAAAAGATGAAATTAAAGAAGTAGCCAAAGGCCTTGAAGGCCATTTTCATACTTTGGCTCTATGCTAAGTATAATGTGTAGCAATTGAAATGTTTTAAATGAGAGAAAGGGAAATCGGATTCATATTTTAGAAAAATGACTGAAAGCATAGTGGGAAAAAAGTAAGACTGGACACAGGTGTTGTAGTTAGGAGACTTTCATAGTATTATGTAACAGAAAGGAGAAATCCACTTCCTGAGCTAGAGAATTGACATGGAGGAGGGGGGCAGTTGATAGATTTGAGTTACTTAAGAGATAGAATTGGGTGATGTTCTGTTTCCTTGCTTGAATGGCTGGGTAGATAATATTCTATTCACAGTTATGGAGAATACAGAAGAAGAAGCAGATATGTGGGAGAAAAACAATGAGTTTAGTTTAGCTATGGTGAGTTTGGGACATTCAATTGAATATGTACAAAAAGTAGTTGGATATGCAATCTATAATACAGGG